GACCCTGCACACACACAAAAATTCAAAATGGACCAAAGATCTGAATATAAAACCTGAAAATTTGAAACTGATGGAAGAAACCATAGGTTAAATGCTTTAAGATACAGGCATAGACAAAGGTTTTTTGTTTTTTTTTCAAAAGACTTCAGTAGCACAGGAAATCCTGAGAATTGCCAAATAGCATTACATGAGATTAAAAGGCTTCTGCAAAGCAAGGGAAATAATTGCCAGAATGAATAGAATAGGGGGAAAAAAAAAAAACTTTGTCAACTGTATATCTGGCAGGAGTGAACATAAAGAATTGCAAAAATTAAAAATAAAACCCCAGTTAATAAATAGGTTAATGAACTACATAGACAACTCTTAAAAGAAGAAATACATATGACCAGTAAACATTTGAAGTGTTCAACAGCTGTAGTCCTCAGAGAAATGCAAATTAAAACCGTTTTGATTCCATCTCACTGCAGTCAAAATGGAAAACACATGGCAACAAATGCTGGCAAGAATATGAAGAAAAAGGAATCTTTTTCACTGCTGATGAGAATGTGAACTTTTTTTTTTGGTCTTTTAGAGACAGGGTCTCCCTATAGCTCCAGCTGTCCTGGATTCACCATGGAGACCAGGCTGGCTTCGAACTCACAGAGATCCGCCTGCCTCTGCCTCCTGAGTGCTGGGATTAAAGGTGTGCGCCACCATGCGTGAGGAGAATGTAAAGTTTTATATCTACTATGGAAATCAGTGTGAGGGCTCCTCGACTGCTTTTGCAGAGGACCTGGGTTCAATTCCCAGCACCCACATGCTGGCTACGAACCGTCCTTAACTCCAGTTCCGGGGGAATCTGAAGTCCTCTTCTCACCTCCACGGCAATGCACGACACAGGTGCACTCACATACGTGCAGGCAATACATTCATACACATGAAATAAAAATAAAATATTTAAAAAAAAAAACTAAAAATAGAACTTTCATGTGATCCAGCTATACCACTCCTGGGTATATGCCCAAAAGACTAAGTCAACATACTATAGAGATGCTTGCATGTCCATGTTTATTGCTCTTCTATTCACAATAGCTAAGAAATGGTGCCAGTCTAGATGTCCATCAACAGATAAATGGATAATGAAAGTGGGATACATATATACAATAGAGTTTATATGCCTGGGGAGAATGAAATAATGACTCTTACAGGAAAATGGATGGAGTTGGAGAGCTTTGTGTTAAGTGACATAAACTAGACTCATAAAAACAAATTTACATTCTTTCATAATCTGGATCTAGATTTGTGTGTGTGTGTGTATCACACAGAACATCCCAAACCATCATATTCAGAAGGAACTCAAGAGAGAGAGAGAGAGAGAGAGAGAGAGAGAGAGAGAGAGATAAAAGTAAAAAGAGGACTGTGAGAAAGGAGAAAAAAATCTCAACAGAAAGAGGATGAGGGCATAATGAATACCCATGAGAGGGAAGCAGAAGGCAGGTGTTCTAGTTTTATCATGATAAAAAACAACTTAAGTGAATAGTACCACCCACAATGGGCTCAGTCTTCCTACATCAGCTAACAGTCAAGACAGTCTCCCACAGCCATGCCCACAGCCAACCTGATCTAGATAATTCCTCATTGAGACTCTTTTCTCAGGTGATTCTAGGTTATGTATAGTTGGCATTTAAATATTTGGTATTTTTATACCGAATATTTGGCAGGAGACCAACAAGATAGGACCAGAATGAAAGGAAAATGGAATCATGATAGAGGGATGAATGAGAACAAAAGTAAAGTGACATGTGTATGAAAATGCCATAATGAAAGTGCCTGACACACAAGCATGAGGACTAGAGTGCAGATTCCCAGAACCCACATAAAGCTGAGCAGATGTGGTGGTCCCTATAACCTCAGCACTCAGGAACCGAGATGGGAAGCCCACAGCAAGCTGGCTATCTACACTAGTCTAATTAGCAAGCTATGGGCTCAAGAGAGACATAGTGCATCAATGTAAAGGGTGAAAAATGATCAAAGAAGACATTCAACATCAACCTCTGGCCTCCACACGCACATGCACACACATGTAATTGTAATCACCTATGTATGCCCCCACATATTTGAATGTACATATACACGTGCATGCACACCACATACACATATACAAGCCAAAAAAGTCCTGATGAAGCACAGCTAAAAACAGTATAGTTTTTGTTGATGTAGCTATTGATAAATATGAATATATAGTGATAAAATATGCATATAGATTATACAATGATAAAATTAATTTTATCAATTGCCTTACATAATTATCATTTCATGTCAGAAAAATCTATTTAAGATCTTCATGTCACTTAAAATCTATTGTTTGAATAATGTTGACATATACAAAACATTGCTATTAACTATATTGCTATACTGTACAATATATCACTGAAAATTATCCTTCATGTCTTCTGGAATAGAGCATGGTTCATAGGTCTAGCATAATTTATATTCATCCCTTTAATGAATAATAGCAAATGACAAATGACAAAATGAATATGCATGTTGGGCTTTGGCTTTAGGAAAATAAGAAAACCAGAGTGGCTGGATAGAGGAATAACTTCTAATGTTCTACAGCATTTCAGGATAATGACAATTGACAACAGTTAATCAAGTATTTCAAAATAGCTTGTAGGGAGGATTTTGAATTCCCCCCCAAAGAAATGTGATGATAGACATGCCACTTACAATGATGATTATTACATCCTGTGCATTGACAAACTCACACTCTATCTTGCCAATATATGCAACTAATACTATGCATTAAAAATAAAGTAAAAAGGGCTGGAGAGATGGGTCAGCAGTTAAGATCACTGACTGCTCTTGCAGAGGATCCAGGTTCGATTCCCAGCACCCATATGGCAGCTAACAACAATCTGTAACTCCAACACCCTCTTCTGACCTCCACAGGCATTGCACCACATGGGTTCACTTACACACGTGCAGGCAATATATTCATACAACTAAAATAAAAAATAAAATATTTTAAAAATAAATTAATTAAGAAGCATCAATGGAGAGAGAATGAATGAAAGCTCTGAAAGGCTAAAGAGCCTGACCAGCAGGGGGCAGTAAAGTGCTTGTGTG